AAAACTGAAATTTATTAGATAATTATTAATTAAAAAATGTGACCACAAATTAAAAAATTAAAATAGATAAATTTGTCAATAAAATTAAAAAATTCTAATCCACTAGCGGTTTGGTACAAAAAGTTACATAAACTAACTTTTTCAATTCGCTAGCGATTTGGACCGTAACCGCTATCCGCTAGTTTCAAATCGCTAAATAAAAATTTTACTAAACACTTTAGTTGTAGCGGTTTCAAAATATATAAATTTACCAAATACTTATATTTAACGGTTTAAATAAAACCGCTAATCGCTATCTCAAAACCACTATACCAAACGGGACCTAATTCAGAATTCATATCACTGGTAAGAGCAGACTGGTATTTATGAGCAATTTAGTTCTTCTGTTAATTATGTAATGACGTGGTTAACTTTTCCGTTTAAAAATTTATTTCCCTAAATTCTGAATATTATGTGAAAATTACATGGAAATTTAAACCGCCATGTGACTATTTTTCTTGCTTACGTGGCCATGTAATCTAATTTCATAAATTAAAGCAATTTATTAATTATATTTAACTCTAATTAAACTTACACTAAACAAGCAACTAACAATTAAAAGCTTAATTAATAAAAAATAAAAAAGAAAACAACCAGCGCCTACAACTGGACTTCTCCTCTGCCTGCAACTCAACTTCTCTGACGCAGAATGCCTCATCTCCGGGGGAGGCTCCGGCGAAAGTCTCAGGGTTTGTAGTAAGACTACAACATGATAGTAACAAAAATCATACACTTTCCTTAGAGGAAATTCTGATTAACAAACATAATTTTTCCCCAAATCAAACCCTCTTACCACCAAAAAAAAAAAAAAAGAAAAAAGAAAAAAAAAACCTATATTCTGATGTAGCAAAAATACCCTGAAATCCATCAACATTGGAGACAAACCAAAAACCCAGATTTGAACCGTAGCTAAACAACCCAAATATGCACCGTAGCTAAACAACCTAGACTAAGATTGAAGAACCCAAAAATTCCTATCATGGTGGTCGAGGATCCCTGAATAATATGTGTTCTTATGAGGCAGAGAACCCAGATTTGGGAGTATGAACCTAGATGGGAGAAAAGGAGGAGCAAATTGGAGTATGAACATAGACAATCTTATCATCAACCCGGATGCTCTATGTGGCGAATTTGACTCCAGTAGTGGATTTGGATTCAAGACTGAACTCGTCCTTGGTAAATCGAGATAACAAATTGGATTCGCCCACACCTGAATCACCAATCAGCACCACCTTGAATAGGCAATCGTAATCGTCGGCTGCTCTGTACGACGTCATTTCGTAGCTTCAGTCGATTAAGTTAAGTTGCCTGATTGGTGCCTTAATGGATCTGAGTCAACGATGAGAGATGGGGAAGAAAGTACAGGATGAAGAAGAAGTAAGGGTATATTAGTCTTTTTAGTTTTTAAAATTTATCATTTTACTAATTTAAGGAGGTCTCTTATGTTTAAGGAATCTTTATTTTTTCCTAACTCAGCATTTGTTTTGAAGTTTAGTTTCCATATCAGCTATTCAATTTAAATTAGGGTGATGATCTAGGACAACCTTTTTATATTCTTTTTATATAATTTTTACATATATTAAATGAATAGATATATTTAATACGATCTTACATGAATTAAAAAAATTAATTATTTAAATGATACGTAAAATTATAAAAAAATAATATAAAAAATTATCACAAAATTATTTCCCTTAAATCATAATAAAAAATGGGATTTTTTTTGAGACTTAACGTGCCACATAGACACATAAATGATGGAAGGACTAAAGTGGTCAAAAAAATTGAAGTTTGAGGATGTTTTTAGCATTTTCTTAAGTTTGAGGATAAATTTGGTTTAAAAATAAAAGTTGAGAGACCACGTTCGGTATTTAACCAAAACTAAATTAAGACGAAGCCTGGTAAACTACCCGGGCCAAAGGCCCTCCTTATCTAGCTACATTTTGGGCTTAAACTTCATGAGTCTCAAAAACTTAAATTTAAATCATTAATAATGGTTGGCCCCCAAGCTTTAGGGTTTGGGTGAGGCGGAAAGATTTCGAGTTTTGCCACCACCGTGAACTCCATCAACTTGCGACTTAATGGTTGCGCGCCTCATCCGAAGAGGTGGAATGTTCATCATTCTGGGAAATCCCAATTGTTAACAACTAACTCTATTAACTTCCTAATCATTACTTTGTAAAAAAAAAAAAACACAATTTCCTATTAATAGGTGGTTATAACCTACCGAAAAGACATCCCTCATCTTTCAAAGTGAAAGGAACCAGATTTGTTGATTGATTTTTTTTCTTTAATGAACCAGTATTTCATGGTTAGTTGGTTTCGTCCAATATCTCCAGAATAAGTACAGTTTTTTTTTTTTTTGAAACGAACCTTCAGGTACAACGGTTCATTTCTAAACCTTAAATGCTTAGGTTTAGGTGGTTAGGGAGTTCAATTCTCACCAAGGACTTAAAAACATATTCCTCATCTCTCAAAATTTTCAATATTCAAAAAAAAAAAAATAGAGTTTCTCTTTTGATTTTTAATTAAAGAGAATGATTGATCCATATTTTAATTTAATACATTATATAATATATTTATTAACAAATTATTATTTATTAATTTAAAATTAAAAACAAATAAACTTAAATTTACAATTATGCAAATAGGATATAAAAATCAATTGAATCACACTATATTTATATTATATTTTAATAATTAAACTAAATAAATATAAAAATATATATTGAATTAAGTGTGTATCAACTATTTTCCTTTAACTAATTACCAATGTTTCAAAAATTACAACTAACAAAAAAGATATTTTATTTGTGAAGAAACAACCAAACAAAAAGCTAAATATGAATACATTTGTATGTATTTATTAAAAAAGAAAAAAGAAAAAATGTACTTATTAAAATAATAATAATAATAAAGAACAAGTAATCGCACTCATTAAAATAAATTGACATGTAAATTATATCATTGGAAGAATCACAGCTTACTTGGTCTAATTGTAGCATTTGTAACAGTGTTGATTAGAT